GGAAGATGAAGTTTTGAGATGCGAAAAAGAAGAAGAAACGAAGCGAGTGCGAAAAAGAGACTAAAAAGAAGAAAGGAAGAAAAAGAAAAAAAAGGAGGGAAAACCAGAACTCGTAAGAATCCGCTAATAACTCTTTACTCTATACGCTGATGCTGGCTTGATGATGATGCTGGCTTGATGATGATGCTGGCTTGATGATGATGCTGGCTTGATGATGATGCTGGCTTGATTATGATGCTGGCTTGATGATGATGCTAGACTAGAGAAAGAGTCCGCTCGTAGACCCGCGCGGCCGCCATCTTCCACCGTCCTACTTCTGCGTCTACTTCTGCGTCTACTTCTGCGTCTACATCTACATCGTCATCGTCATCTTCCTCGTCTCTGACGTCAAAGACGGTCACTCGCGTCCCCTCGACGAGGCTCTTGATCCTCACTCGCTCCGTCATGCTCGCTTCCGCCAGCAGCGCAGAGAACATCGCGTCCAGCTTGTCCAGCAGCCTGAAGGTCTCCCTGGCCTGCCATGGGAAGTCGCGCAGGTAGCTGTTCACCAGGCCCGCCAGGCTGATCATGTAGGGCACTTGTATCGATGCTGCGCCATTAGCATGCACATATGTACCTGTGTAGATAGATACTCACGCGTGTTGCTGACCCAGAGGACGTCGAGGGCGCGGTCGACGTCGACGGCCACCTCGCCGAAAGAGTCGTAGCCGGGCACGTCTTCTTCCGCGTCCTTTGTCTCTTCCGCGTCCGTCTCTGTGAAGGAGCGGCTGAACCTCTTTGCGTGGCGGCGGTTGATGCGCAGGACGGCCGCCTCGACCCAGTTGAGCAGCGTTGTCTCCTTGCTCGACCCGGGCCGCAGGGGGTGCTGTCGTTGCTCCGGTAGAGCAGAGTCGCCGTTCATCTTACATGCACTATACTGATCTAGTTATAGACGTAGATGTTAGACGTAGATGTTAGACGTAGAAGTAGAAGAAGTTTTAGATGATGCAATGATGACTAATACGTGTTAGTATACAAGAGATGGAAGAGACGAAGACAAGAGAAGAAATCAGGTCGAGTGAGAAGATATTAGGCTGGGCGTGAAGACATGGCACAAAGTGCTCCTCTGGCCCCCAGCAGACTCATCATGTAGGAGAAGAAGTAGAAGTAGAAGAAGAAGTAGGAGAAGAAGTAGAAGAAGTAGAGGTAGACTTACGATCATGACTCCGGCTGGAACAGTCAGTAAGAGATAGAGATAGAGCAAGGCAGAGAGACTTACTACGACCTTCCCGCGACGGCTCTTCATCTCCTCCACACGCCGCTTGTCCTCCTCGAACCGCCGCAGCAGCTCTCCCTGCCTCTCCTTGCGTTTCTCCCGCATCTGGAACCGGTAAAAGTCCTCCAGCCCCCGACTCTTCTCTCGCTGCTTCTCTGCCAGAGCCCGCAGCTCCTCCTCCCGCCGCCGCCGCCGCTGCTGCTGCTGGCCCTGCCTCGGCCCCCTCGCCACGGTCACGAAGCCGTCCTCGTCCACTACCTCGCCCTGTCTCGCCGCGGCTTGCTCCTGCGCTTCCTCCAGCCGCGTCAGCACGCCCATGTACTCGTTCACGCGCTGCAGCAGCTCGGACCGGCCAGGATAGCGCCCTTCGCCCAGGTGTCTGCTGTATCGCGACCGGCCCAGTGCAGGTACCTTCTGTCCGTCCTCCAGCCCTTCGCCCCATACTATTACGGATGTGCTGCTGCTGCTGGAAGAACTCGTCTTGCCGGCCTTCTTCCGGACCGCTTTCAGGCTGGCTTCCATGCTGGGCCGGTCGACGAAGGTAACCACCGCATGTGAGCCGCTGGGCCGTAGCTCTCGGTCCCATGCGGGCGGCAGGTACATCCCGTCCAGCTGGGCCTCGCACTCTTCCACCGTCTCCTCCTCGCGTTTCCGTTTCTTGCTCTGGTTCGTCTTCGTCTTCCTGTCGTTGCCGTCAATCGGTGCTGGTGCGGCGATAGGGTGCTGTTTCTTGCCATAGTGAAAGTCCACTCGCTCGACGCGGCCGGATCCCAGCTGAGTGCCAAACAGGTGGCGGAAGTGCGTCTCCGTGCAGGTCGTCGGGATGTTGACCACGAACAGTGACCGTGACGAGTCGGCGTCTGGCTCTCGTGGTGCGTGGGCCTGGATGTACAGGTAATGTGTGGCTGCTTCGTCAAAGGATGGCCTTGCTGGCAGCCGTACCGGCAGCACGCTGTATCCTGCTATGCTCGACACCGTCTTCGACGGCATCTCTCTATTCCCGGTTTCCCCTTCTAGGCTCTTCTTCAAGTGTTTTGTAGTGGTATCTCTGGATATTTGCGGCAGTTGTTCTTAGCTACTTTCATTTTTTTTTTAAATCGATAACT